CACATAATTTGACCTACCAACACGAATTCAGTCAACGTCGAAAATAACGTATCCAATCTTGACCTTAAATACATCAACACCACCTCTAAAACAATGAGATATAGTTAGTACCAAACGAGATAGTAACAAGAGGACAGAGGGAGGAATATAGGGAATAGATTGCACAGAATAAATGCCCACTAATGTACATCGGCGAAACATCTAGAAACCTAAAAAAATAACTATATAAACATCTCAGAGATATGCCTGATAACAACTCTTTAAACGCATATACTGTGTGCCCTAAAAAACTGTACTTACTTTTTGATTTGGCCTTTATAGTTTTTCTATATAAGAGTCGACCGTACTGTGGATGATCAAGTCAATGCGAACGATTCTCTTCCTGATCTGCATAGTATGTGCTTCGCCAGGGCTACATACAGCTTTGAATTTATAGTTTTCTTTCGCTTAGACGGATTACCACCCAGTTTGTCCTACTATTTATTCCTCTGTGGAAAAGACATAGATTCAGACCTATCCCAATGGTATTAGCACACAAATGAATTTGAACTCGGCTCTCCGATATCACAAGCCGAACCGCAATCCATTACACTCCCTCCTGTATTTAAACCGTTAATCTTCTTTGTAATTAAATAAACATTAATCTTTTAAAAGTCAATCAGTAATCTTATGTGCAAGTCAATAAACACTGCATTTACTCTCATTAAAAAGTCAGTACATTTTTTTGCAGCATATATATATATATATATATATATATATATATATATATATATATATATATATATATATATGTTTCATGTTTCGTTAAATAATATAGACAAGTTTTGTCTATTCATTTTAAGCAATTGCCTTTCATATCGTGTGATAAGCTCAATAACATTATCATTGAAAGACGAAAGAAAACTACCATATTGATACATATTTTTTAATCCTATCTAAGCTTCCGGATTACATAAGTCATCATCAACGATAACAATTACATTACTTAAAACTTCTCGTTTTCATTCTCGCGTGATCATGTGTTATGTCATGGGCCGCGGTGCGATTTTCGCTTCCAGCGTCTCGTATGCACGAGATTCTCGTTGCTTGGAAATCTTTCATGCAAACAAAACAAACTATCATTCTTTCTATGTCCCTGTATTGTTTAATTCATTGTAATGTAATTGTCATCTGCGGACACATGGCACAGTGGATAAAGGCGTTAGTTAGATCCAGTAACATGATCCAAAGAGTGTGAGTTCAATACCGGGTTAAGGCAGTCGAGAACTTTCAGAGGGAAATCCATTAAGCATGGCACGTGGAACTAGAACATTCTACCTCAGTGAGCGAAATAAAGGTTTCAGTTCGAGATTCAAACTACTTGAAGAAGGCCGGAATGTACAACGGCCGAAACGTTGTAATAAATATGGCGACAAAGATGAGGACAATAGTCCGAAAAATGTAAATAATATTTTAAATTATTTATAGAAATTTCAATATGTCGCTTTCTGTGCTGAAATATATTTTATTTAATTCTGTATTTTTATTTTTTATAATACTTTATTTTATATAAGTATTTTATATTTTGTATAAATCTTTAATAACTATTTTTATATCTTTCTTTACAGCGTGGCGTGTATATAATTATTGTTTTATCTACCAAGTGTTCTATTGAAGCTATCTGCGATGTGAAGATCGATGGCAACGAATTATACAAAATTTTGACACCTGACACATATACCTGCGAGAGAGTGTTGTATTTATGCGGTCAATGTGGACTTTAATGTTGTTTTATAATTAATAGTTTTGATAATGAAACCTTCGAAATGGCACGAGAATTCATAAATAAACGATAGCCTAGGGGTAGGAACTCTGACTGATGCCAAATCGGTCGGGTTTCGATCCCAGCTTGAAGCAATCGGATGTATAGCCACACTGAAGATACAGCGAAAGTGTCTGTCTGTGGATGACAATATATATATATGCTCGCGGGAAATCCGGTTGAGCTCTCTTGAGAAAAAAGTAATTTTAATAATAGCGGCTCTTACTGCTAATAAGGCATGTTTCTTCAACTGAATTGAGCTCTCCGAGCCACTGGCGGATTTCGTATAGAAAACGTTAAAATTTCTTTCCTTTTTGCTATGCGACGATTGCCTAGGGGTAAGAACTCTGACTTCGGGTTTCAGGTAGGAACTCAGACTTCGGGTTTCGACTTGAAGCAATCGGACGTCAAGCCACACTGAAGAGCTGTGATACAGCTGAACAGTCTGTATGTGGATGAAAATATACATAATCCAGTTGATCTCTCTTGAGAAAAGGGTTATTTTAAAAACAATGATCCTACTGCTATATCTTCAACTGGATTAACTTCTTCGGGTGCATTTCGTATGGAAAACGTTAAAATCTCGGGTTTCGATCCTGGCTTGAATCAATCGCTTAGCCACACTGAAGAACTGTGATACAGCGAAACAATCTGTGGATGACAATTATGCTCCCGGGAAATCTGGTTGAGCTCTCTTGAGAAAAGGGTTATATTAAAAACAGTGGTTCCTACTGCTATTAACTTATTCAACTGAATTCGTGTAGAAAATATAAAATTTCCCTTTCTCTTTGCCGTGC